ACCTGTCAACCTTTTTTTAATAGCCAACCCCCACCCCCTTGCCACATTTAATTTAAGAGGCTGATTTTTTTTCTTTTTTACTTTTCCCTCTTTAAAAAATGGCATGCGTTTGAGGTCTCTATCAACACTATAAGTTATTTAAGAGGCAGAAGCTACGAGTTTGTCCGTCTCTGAAAGGACAGAGCCAAATGGGAGATTCCCGAAAAATGCCGTTCCCAAGATCACACCTTCGTGCCAAGCTGAGGCTCCAACCCCCGAACCCTCAACCTCACGATTACAAGTCTGGTAGCCTAACCACTAGACTAACGACTCCACTGAGACCAAAATTGTCCTGCCGACCACCAACATGGATGTATTTTCAAGTGGGGCATTTATAAATTATGATACCCTTCATCTCGGAGTGATCCCTACCACCCACAAGAAGTACCAAAAAATCAGCCACTCGTGAGCGAGACAGCCCAGGTTGGCAAAACTGCTTTATCCTAGAAATACAAAGTTATATTTATTGCTCTGTACTTAGTTTTGAGAAAGTTGACCTCATAAAGATGTCTTCGCAAAAATATCAATATCAGCAGAAGAAACCGCAATGTACGAAATCATACGCCTACGAACCGGAATACTACCAGTAATAAATTTAATTGAGCGTCAAAGAGTCAATTTTAATGGTTGGGGCATTTAAACAGAATGCCCCCGAAACAGTTAGCGGCAAGAGCAAGAGCTTACCACACCCGGGAATCCGGCTTCACATCTAGAGGACAACCAAGAAGGACCCTGCTGGTTAGGGTTAAAAAGGTCCAGGAACAACATAACATAATTTATCACAGACGCCACACACTCAGTGGCGGTGGGTGGACCAACATATGGGTGGGGCTAAGGTTGCTTCCACTTCTTTACCACCAAAAAGCAAGCAATGGCCCTAAACAATACTGACTTTTCTGTACTCACCGTGAGCCACGGTATTTTGAGAACCATTAATAACGAGAAGAGTTACCTTTCTCTTCCGTCTCTTTCCTCTAAGTTAGATTCTTTAGGATGAAAAATTGGTTCGACGTGATTTATAACTGTTAAATCTCAGCGGCACCAACACAAACATGAGTACACAATACTTCAAACACTATTATTTCGTCTATGAATGAGCACAAACCCGTGAGCCCTTCACTATCCACCGCCACTGCACACACTTAGCACATGACCAAAATCTGTACCTCCCTCGACATCCTGAGGATACCAGAGGAAGGAAAAAGTATAAAGTAAAAGCGAAAAAGACGTAATAAATTTTGAGTTTCACACGTCAAGCTTTTTAGAAAGTAATTCTTTGAACATCTTGATAGCGACTCAAAAAAAATCTTACGATTTTGATCGAGCAGATAGAAGATTTGGTTTCTGACACCATGGTCTTAGTAACTCAGGACGGCCAAAAA